GAGTGGGCAGTTAATAACTTCATTTTTAACAAGAACTTAAAGCAGCTCAGAAAATTTAGAAGTTGATTGAAAGGGTGAGTGTTTTTCCCTTCTACTTAATACACTGTATTTATTACAACAGTTTTGTATTTATAGTACACAAAATTGGTTATGACTTCAACAGCAATGACCAGGGCTGGAATCATTCCAGCAGGGTCCATTCATCCTGTGTCTCAAGTTGAGCTAGTGCTTTGTGAATCAGCCTGGAAACTTCCTGTGTAAACTGCCTGTTTTCCTCTGGGGTCCTGGTTCTTTTATCTTCAAGGCAGTACAAAGCATCTCATAACATAGAACCAAGAGTGTCCCATCATAGTTCATAATGTCAGTCTGTGGCCCTACCACCCGCTCTTGTAAAGACTTACTTTTTTATATGTTGGTGGATGGGTGATTTGTTGTTTATTTCGTTCCTTTTGCATTTTTATAGAGCTCCTCCGTATATGGCTGGAAATAAGTACAGAATGTCTCATGCTTGGGCTTCCCTTGTAAATTGGCACAGATTCCTTTAGCTTCTGGGGTTGCAACTTGCCCTTATTAAAACTGCCTTGGATTATTTTAATATAAGGTTAAGTTTGTGTTTTTTCTTTAAAAAAAATCAAGATTATGATTCAGACCCTCTGTGTCTCCTCTTTCCAGGGTCTCATATGGAGATTAAGGTCACTTGCTATGATTTGTCTATTTTTTCTACAGAAGATCTCATTTTTAGAGTTGAAACTTCAGGTGTTTCAGATTTTTGTTGAAGAATCTCAGTACCATGGAAAGGTTTTTGATGTAGTTTATGCTTTCGGCCTAATTTTTTGCCTTGCAGAAATGAACATTTTAATTAACATTTAATAATCTCAAACAGAGACATTTTCTAAGAACATCTTTCAAGAAAAAAACGTCAGATCTCAGACATATCAAAGCAGCAAACCAACTTTTGCATCAGAGAGGAAATCATTAATTGCTTCAAGCAAAATATCTGAATGACTGATTTCAATATCAATGTCAATATTTTAATATCCTTACTACAGGGATTTCTTTTTAAGCCTTCAGAGTAGCCCTTGACTTCACCCTACATTGAGTCACAACAATCATAGTACATAGTTTGAGTAGTAATCATTTTCTCATTAATTGTCAGGTTACTCAGAACATCTGGAGGGTTAGTCACTGACTCCACGAGTCTCCACTGCCATCTTCCTATATTTGGTCTTGGGTGATAGAAACCGGGAGTAGTCTATAGTACTACTATAGATGTATATGTATTTATATATATATACATCACCTGGGGATCATGTCAAATACAAATGCTCATTCTGTAGGTCTGGGGTGGGGCCTGAGAGTCTGCATTTCTAACAAGCACCCTGTAATGCTACTGGTCAATCTGGACCACTTGTTGAGGACCAACAATCTCTAAAACTATGTATGGGCCACAGCCTGAATTCAGGAACTTCCTGATATTAAAAGCAGAAGAAATAGAGGAGCTCAATGAGGAGAGGTGAGAAGGAAACTAGGGGTAAGAATAAGGTAATGAGTGAAAGGAGAAAGAAAGACTCTTGAGGAACAATGAGACATTTCCCCCAGACTAACATGAGTCTTGGGGTGCCTGCCTGTAACATTGGACGGGAGAGGAGGAGGGCAGGGAATCTGACTTTTAGTGAATGTCTTCTGTGCAAACTGCAGTCTGATATATTGCTATATGTTTATGCATGATGGATAGCTAGATCGATTGATAGATATGGAATATGCTGTAAATATCTGGATATATAGAGAGATGTGTGCTTATATGGAGAATGGATGGATGGATGGATAGATAGACAGATGGACAGATGAGGTTCTGCTTTGTTCCAAACAGGTTTGAAGAGGGAGCTGTACTAGGTGCTCCCATATGCATATACTGCTTCAATCCTCAGGACAAACTTTTAAAAATATATACAGAGAGAGGTGATAAAGCTGAGGCTTAGAGTAATTAAAAACAAAAACAAAACCAAAAAGCAGCTCTAGGACTATTCGACTTCAGAACTAGGAAATCCATGCTTTGACCAGTCCCAGAGCCGGCCACAAGTAAGAGAGGCAGGGGCATAAAGAGCAGTATTGGAGCCTGGGGTAAGAGTGCACTGGGAGAAGAAATTAGAGAAGAGGATGTGGCAGACATGTGGATAGGTCCAGGAAGATGGGGAAAGGAAAATGCAGGACTTGCCAGGGCCTTGGTCCAAGTGGATAATTCCAGTCCTGGTAGCAATTAAGAAGTGACCCATTTGGCAGAGCCTGCCCCTCTGCAGGTTGCCACTCTCTTTCCTGCCAACACTGTTTCTATAACCTTTCTGGCCCTGGCTAGACTAGCCTGGTTCTACCCAGCGTGGACGACTCAGTTTTCACCTTTCCTAAACTACCAATGCAGCAAAGAGGCGGTCTGCAGGACTCTACGTGGGAGAGACTGTGTAGCAAAAACTTGGGGCCCCTAGCAGCACCTACCCCCACCCCCACTGGGACTCTGAGTCAATGGTACTCCAGGTTCAGGGTCTTCCTCCTCTTCTGGATCTGCTTTTGGCTCCATAGATCCTTTTGAACCTCCTTCTCTGAGATGATTCATTGAGAAAATCCTCCAGTTACTTCCCCAGGTGAAGCAGTTTTCTCAGAGACCATCAATTAAACATACGGAAATCAGGGCAGGGACAAGGCCTCACAACCCATTGTTGTGGGGGAGGGGAAATTATGGTACATATTAGAAGAGGAGAAAAAGAAGTTTATATTCACTCACCTTCAGCCTCATCTTGTACCATTTGCCCCTCTCTCTTGCCTTGCAAGTTGTCTTGTACACAGTCAACCCTCAATACACATTTTTTGAATAAATGGGTTGATTAATGAATACATCAGAAAGCAAAAAGGCTAAATTTAAAAATATAAAATCATAAGAACCTTGTTTTATTTTGAAATTTTCCTACTGGGTCAAGTAAGAAACCTGTTATGGATCTGATGGCTTGATAAATGTGCTTACTTTTGGCATTGTCTTTGGAGCCAAAAGAGTTGCTTGGGAGAATCAAGATGGAGGAGGAGGATGGAGAGACTCTGCTTTCCAATCCCTGTACCTCGCGTGTCAAGGAGAGACGGTGGCTATGTTGAGGTTACTGTAACTTCAATCAGACAATGTATACTTCCATCCTAGCACAGTGGCTGGCACAAAAAAGATGCTCAATAAATATTCACTGAATTAATGAATAAAAGTGATGTACTTACTCTATCATATGTCCTTCAAGCTGCAAGTAACCCTTAATGCTGCCCGGAAGATTGCTTTTGCCTGTGTTTAGCTCAATGTTTTGATCAAGGGAAAGTCAACCTGTCCTTTGTCTAAGATTAGGCCTCATCATGTTATTTTAGGCCTAACGATCCTAAGTCCAGTTTAGAAGAGGCCAATTTATAATTCTAATTCATAAGTATTCCCCTGAACATTCATGAAGACTATTTTCTTTTGAAGTCACTAGAGTCCTCATTTCTTAAATCTAATGTAATTGCTGGAAGAGGAGCTTGTTCGAGAAGGGACAAGAATTGAGCTATAGTTTAATATGGATGGGAATGCCAAGATGTTCTTGTGCATTTTCTGCTGGGGCTCGCTTGGCTCCAAGGGCAGACAATGGGGTAAGCACTTGCATGAAAAAGTGAACGGTTTGCCTCACTGGACTGAAAAAAGGTGCCCAAGGTCATGGGACCTGGGAGCTTGGCAAGGGTAGTCTGGCAGAGTTTTGACACTCTCTTATGGGATTAGATTATGGGGAACTGGAGAACCCCTTTCTGGCATATAAAAAAAATGTAATTGTCTGGTAGTTCCTTGAAACTCAGTAAGGGTTTTATTTATTCAGCCCAGGGATGGCAAATTACCTTGGCTTGTATGGCAGGACAATATATTGATAATGGCTGCTGGAAACCTATAATGAGAAAAATTGTGAGATCATATTTGGGCTCATTAAGAAAGAGTTGTCATTTATACTTCAATTTAAAAAAGAAAGAAAGAAAGTGTTGTCATAAGTTGGCAATGTCAGCTAAGAGTTTTGGAACGGGGATTGGTGGCATGCCCCATATTTAATATCCTTTCTTTAAAGATTTTTTTCTCCTTTTTTTTTTTTGGTCTTGTAAAAATCTAAGTAATTATATCCAAAAATTCATTTAATTGTCCCATAAGCTCCGTGAGATAAGTACTGTTATAATCTTCATTTTGTTTTCAGATGAAGAAACTAAAGGTACAAACATATTATTTCCCCAAGTATTAGTGCTACACATGCCCACGTAACTTCAGGGCCCAGGCTTTTAACAAACATGTCATTTTCCCTTAGAATTCTGGAGTGCTGATATTTAAGGTTGTTATCACCCTCCAGTAAATGAGTTTCTCTCTGTTGTCTTACCTAAGAGAGGAAAATATAAAAGATTAATAAGGTCAGCAGGGCTAAAGACAAAAGACTAAGATTAATTCCTAGTCTAAATATTGAAAACATGGCTTAGTATATGACTACTCCAATCAAGGAAATATGGATTATTTCTGGATCATTCTAAGGATGGAACACAATACATCTATACCATTTTTACCTTGAGATCCAACCCAAGTAGAAGAACTATTCTTAGATGAGATTTTTCACCCCTTGGAATTTTTCATTCTAAAAGCAAAGATGTTAATCATGATGTCCTAATGATATTCTAAATGCAGGTAATTATACTTTGTTTTCCTTAAACACTTAAAGTGTTCTTTTAATGGAATGATCTCACTATTTATGGAAACACATTATTATTGCTTTCCCCAAGTATTTATTTCTGTAATTAACTGTTAAAATCATTTGTAAATACACAAGTTATAGTGTCCATGTAAAAAGTGTTTGGATTTTACCAAAAGGCAGGAAAAATACAAAACGAAACAAAAAAATCTTCAAATATTCTTAGCTGGTGTTAGAAATGTCCGAATAGAGTTTGACTTTTTGCCTGTTCTCTTTGTTTTACAGAAAAATCTGTCATTGCTCAACCAATATTCGTTTTTGCAAAGAGAGAACAAACTTTTAAGGTAAGATCAAGCTAATTTTCTTTGTTTGACTTTTACTTTCACAAAGAAAATGATGTTTCAAAGAAGCTAGTGCTGCTGAATGATACCGTGGTTGCCTTAGTTTATCCTCTTGCTCTTCACATAGCAGAGCAGTGACTCTAGAATATTTATATAGTAGGTTTTTACTGGCAGCAATTTGGCCTAAGTGGGAGGCCAGAGGCCTGCCTTGTCTTGAAGCTATGAATAACATGCCATCTTTACCCAAAATTAGAGGGTTTATTTGGAGTGTCTTGGAAGGGGGCAGAATGAAAGAAGTTAGCAGGGTCGAGGCTCCTCGTGGGTCTCCACCACTGACCTCGCTTAAAACCGGGGATAAAATAGGTTCTAAACTTCGTTGCTTGATTCAAAAGGGATCTTAAGGATGCTATCTGCATCATACTTTAGTACCACCTGCTTTGAAAGACCAACAATAAGATTAATAGCTTTCCCACTTTAGCTTGATTAGTATTTTCCTGTTATTTGTTCCCACTTATGCAAGTCATTTACCCTACTACCCACAAAACTCACTAGAGAAGCTCAAACCCCAAGCCCTGGTCGAAAAGTCAGTTTCCTGGGCCCCACCCCAGGCCAACCGCTTCAGATCTTGAGAGCTCGGTTTCAAAATCTTCCTTTTAAACAAGTTCTGACAAGGGATTCTGCAGTCACTGAAATACAAAACCGCTAACACTAACACTTTGCTTTGTCTTGAATATATGCCTAGGAGTAAAGGTGTAAAGGTGAGTGGCTTTGTCCTGGCCTAGCTGAATAGACCTGGCTTTTGAGAATTCTCTTCTAAAGTGACAGGGTAGAATTCTGACGTAAAAACAGCACTCAGCTCTCATCGGCAGCTTTGTTTCCTTCCAGAGACCTGCAGAAGACACCGCATGTGAGGCAGCAGAGCATGGTAATGACTTACATCCTGTATTTCAAAACCAATCTTCAGACAAAGAAAATAAGCAGGCCCAAGTATTTTGGCATGTGGCAAGAACTGGGTAAAACTTCATGGTTTTGCTTGTGTTTAAACACCAAAATAAACTGGCTTTTGTTTTGAAAGATGACACGTAGGTCCCAAGAACACTGACGTTAGCAAAGCTAAGGTCCCTTCTTTCTGCATTGCCTGGGTCTCAACCTACCAAACACATTCTCTACACAATCTCAAGTCATATGCAGTTTCTTGCCGAAGCCACTTGTTTCTAAGTGTTTCTTAGGAGGATGATATGCCTATCGCTTTATAATCACCAAGCTATTAACCCCAGCATTTAAACTTGGGCTTCAGGAGTTAACATGTTAGCAGATGATGATCTATGTAGGCAAAAGGTAATTCTATTTATTCTTCCATATCTTGGGTTGAGGATAATTTGTTATTGCCAGCAATTTTACCCATCATGTTAAATTTCTTGCAGAATGTAATGGTTTTCTAAGAAAGCGTGTACGGTCTTCATCTTTTACTTTGCATACTACAGACCCTCAGTCCCAAGGAGGTAGGTATAGACCTGACTGTTGACTGTTCACTGTTATGTTTTCTCTGAGTGTGAAATTACTGAGAAACTTTTCAAATGGAAATGTTTAAAAGTCTACCCGTCAGAGAGTGTTTATAATAAATTATTGTATGAAAATAGCAGTCTATAAGATGGATTGTACAGTGAGTCACTATTTAAAAATTCAATTTATCAACATTGGATGAAAGATGGAAAGGACATCAGCCATAATGTCAGCAATGGTTATCTTAGGTAATGGGATTACAGGCAATTTGGGGTTTCCCACCCACTCTGCATTTTGTCATGTTTCCAAAGTGTCTGCATTAAGGATGCATTAGCTTTGTAATTAGGGGAAACTGACATTTCTCCCTAAGTTACCATCTACTTAAACAAATGTCTGCCTTGAAAAGAACACTTTAAGAACATCATATACTGTATTCTGAGTAAACCAGTAACTCAGTTTGCCTCTCTTCTACACTCAAAGCACTCTGTGATTCCTTTTATACATGACCGCATTGTCCTCTGCCTTGTAAGAAAGCTATTTCTGTGTATGTCTATCCCCTCCACTGTGCCTTCCTTGAGGTCATCTTCCTGCCTGATAGAGTGTCTTACACACGGTGAGCACTCCAGTATTTATTGAATCGAATAGAAATTAATTTGTAATTCTCACCACAAGCCCATTTTATTTCTATTGATTAAAAAAAATACAAAACCTTTTCTAAATTAGTGATACAGAAATTTTTCTGAAACAGCAAAAGTCCAAATCAAAAGAAACACAAAAAACCACTTCCTCATTGACTTCAGTTTGCAATTTGCTTCTAGCATCAACCTTGTTCCAGAATCGAATGAGATCATCATCCTTCACCAACCTCCTGACCTTCCCCCCTTCTGGGCCAGGTAATAAACTGCTTCCAGAACCTCGAGCCTGACACTCTGACTTTTCAAAATTCATTCTCATTGATGGTGTGCTTTCTTACTCAGCTACTATAAAATGCTGGCATTTTAGTGGCAAATAAAATAGAGGCAAAGTATGATTAGAAGAATGCCTTAAGAATTCCAACTCCACAAATCCAGACAGTGCATCTGTTTATTTTTGGCAGAAATTTTGAATTTGATGATGTTTTTAAGGAATTCATGTTTATGATAGCAATATGTTATATAAGGCAGCTCCATAATATAACTTGCTTTATTTTACTCATTATTATTCATCTGTACAGTTTATAATATATACAGTACTCAAAATATACAGCTATACTTTATTTTATTTAAAAGATTTTATTTATTTATTTGACAGAGAGAGACACAGCAAGAGAGTGAACACAAGTAGGGGGAGCGGGAGAGGGAGAAGCAGGCTTCCCGCAGAGCAGGGAGCCTGATGCGGGGCTCGATCCCAGCACCCTGGGATCGCAACCTGAGCTGAAGGCAGACACTTAACGACTGAACCACCCAGGCATCCCTACAGCTATACTTTAAATTCTTATTCTAAAGTTTATGCTTTAAGTGAATATTCTAAGGTTTAGAATATGATTCCTTTTATTTTCATTTATTTTTTTAGAATATGATTACTTAACCTTTTCACTAAAACATTACTTCTTTTTATTTGAAATTTATAGTGCTTTGCTAAGTAAATCTATCTTATCATAAAATATTTGAAATGGTTGGAACATTACATTAAAATTACAATTTTATATTCTTTTTGTTTTTGTTTCTACTGAACAACCAGCTGCCTTTTCCAAGTTAACCTTGCCACTAAGAAATAAAAAATACAATCTGTTCACTTCCTTTTAAATGATCCCTCTCTACCTGGGAGCCACAGGGTTTTCAAACTAATGTATTTATATTCTTATTAATAATTCCAAACATGACTGAGCAACATATATGTCAGATACCTTTCAGATACAGAAGAAATACTTTCAAGCTCAATAGACCCCTTTTAAACCTGACTGACAAGTTACAGACATTAAGAGGAATAGGGGCCCTAATCCTAGAGAATTTGTTTTATTGTATTTGTGCCTAAAGTGGAGGGTTGGATGTAAGTTATCTGAATAACTGTTTCAATTATTTTAAATTAGACATACACATACAAAAAGATTAAATAAAGGAACATTGATATCAGTAAGTACCATTCCATTTTATGTTATGTGGAATGTTGGTGGTATTGGAATGGAGAAAAATAGTACAATTTGATATGGCCCATTTGTTACTGGTTTTTAATAATAAAGGTCATAAAGCATTTAATTGAACTTTGAATTAGAGAAGCAATTTACCCCAACATTTATAATATGTTTTAATACTTGGAAGAAGCAGTTCTTATTCTTTTCTCATTTCCATTAATCAAATGCTCAAAGGTTGCTGTTTCTGCAATTTGCAAGCAAGAGATGGGTGATCTCTTTGAAATGTATAATAATCCTATACTTGCAGCCACCACCATAGTCTTATGCCACCAACACACTTGATAGAAAAATCCCCTAGTATGACAGTCATCTCTCTCTAGGTATCACTAGATTGGGGAGAGTGGCAGAATTTGCTAATAGTTTCATAACATTTTATAAGAAATACATATTAATGCACACAGAGGGTTCACTACCATCAGATTTTATAATATGTATTCATTTCAGTACTCATTTTCGTGATTCTAAAAAAAAGTGCCTGTTCTATTAGTAGACCAACTTTCATTTATATTTCTGAAAGTAAACAGAACTATGTGGCAAAACTCACTGCCATCACTCATTTTTAGCACAGGGCACAGCCTACAGTTGTTAGTGCCAACAGCGACATCTACTGGTGAGTTTGGTACAGGACTGTTAAAACCCGGATTCTGTAGAAACGGACTCTTTGATTTAAAATGTGCTAAATATTTTTTCTTACAGTGAAGAAACACAATGTTTTTATGACATCAACTCTTGTGCAAAGGAATGTGGATATGAACAGTACAGATCAAGGTATGTAGTTTATTACAAGAGCCTCTGAAATTTTACATTTTACATTTATATTTTAATTTGTTGTGTGTGTGTTGGGGTCTGGAGTTAGGGCCAAGTGACAAAACGTGAAAAAACAAATTTGGTAAGCCAAGTCCCATGGCCAAAATGAATAGGTATTGGGTAAAGGTGAGGGCAGAAGTAAGCATTAAGCAATTCACTGGCTATTTTGACATTGATCAGTTAACATTAATCCCTCATTTAATGATGACTTTAGAAAACAAACATTAAATTAGTCAAAAATATGGAGGAAGAAGTATTTCACTAAAGATATATTGACTCTTTAATTCTGTCCTTTTAAGGTCCTGTGAAACATTCTGAACATGTCCTAAGGCCTGCTATTTTGCAGCCACCTCAAGCTCAAAGGTGTGAAAAAGTAAGAAAAACATTTGGACACAATACCTTGGAATCCTGCAAGACTAAGGAAAAAACAAAAAATAAGGTAAGAAAACCTCCTATGGTGGGATTGACATCAAGTTTCCATCTTTCATTTAGTAGATTATTGTGGGCTCTACATTCAGAGTTAGGGGCTGCCTGACTTTTGTTCTGTTGCTGAAGCAGACTATAGATAGCAAACAGCCCTCGGTGAGCTAATGAAAGTTGTCCTCTTAAATTGGAGAGTTGTTCCTAGGAACTAGTTTTGTGGTTTCTCCTAAGCTGTAAAGTTGAGGCCCTTTTGGTAGAAACCTCTGGGCTCCTGTTCTAGTACACTGACCCCACATGAGAACAGGGGGAGCAATGAGATGGCCAGGACCAGGAGCCACAAGTCAAAAAAGGAACAGAAGTTTTCTGCATCCCCAGCTGGTCGACATTCCAGTGTGGTTTTGCCAGTTTAGGTCACACCGGGGATCCATCCAGACCCATCTTCATGGATAACGGGAGCAGAGGACTACCTGCACGGAGTTGGGAATTGGGAGGACTGGGGAAGCTTCTGAAGACAGAGAAGAAGTCTCCCTTCCAATGGTTGTGGGTGGCTGAATCCCTCACTGTGGGCCTTTCTAGGGAGACTGATTGTCATTTTGCTCAAGCCATGCAGATATGGGTTTGGGGATATTCTGTTGCCGTGTCTTCCAGAAGCCAATACTTGAGAGGAATGGCACCCAAGATTTTCAGAGTAATTCCATCTTTCATTTGTTTCCAGCTGGACTATGGAGGGTTGGTCACCTGTTTTGTTTTGTTTTTCCATACTGAACATGAAGACAGTGACACATGGAAATTAAAAATACCAGTCATTTCATCAATGCAATGAAAAAAAAATCAGATTGGTACTAATCCTACCTCTGTCCATATCTAACTTAGGTTTACATTCTTGGACAAAGCACCCAATCTTCTCTTTTTAACAGTGAAGTGAGAGAGTTGAACTTGGTCAGCATTTGACAACGTTTTTGTAATTCCAAACATTTTTGTAAGATATGATCTCATGAGACTCATTATGAATTTTAAAAATCATTTCATTATTTCTGCATGGCATATGGCGTGATTTTTAAGTAAAACATATTTTAAATTTCAAATCGGTAGATTATTAAATGTTTTCGTTTAAATATAACCTAGTAATCATAACCATATTACATAAATTCTCACTTTTATCCATTTAATAAGTGATGCATGTTGTTTAATTTGTGTTAAGGTATGTAAGAAAAAGTATGGATGTGTTGACTAATTTCTAAAATGTTATTATGTTGCATATGATTTTGGAACAGGATGTACTATAAATTATAGATTAAATTTTTTGTTACATGTTATGATATAAAAAGTAAATCAATATTTCTTCTTTGGCATGGCTTATTGAAATATTGCATTATGTATTTTAAAAATAAAATTTATTAATATTTTTCTTGCATTTTCCTTCTGAATGATAAAGAATAAGAGAAATTTTCAGGTAATTGTTTGTAAGCATTTCTTCTTGAATAAATCTATCAAACATATGAAAGTACTTTTTCCTATTTAGTGAACAGCTTAACTGTATGTGTCCATTATTGAATTTTCTCTAACAATGACCTTTGAAGAGTTAAAGACATACTATATAAAATGCAATGTAAGAACTCTGACAAAATAATGAAACTTATAGATGTAGGGAAAATTATCTCTAGGTGAATTTCATAGAACTATTATTTTCATGTTCCGTAATGACTTGTATATAAAATCAGAGCAATTTTTATTCATTGTCATTAATCAATGGTCACTTATTATGTATAATTTAAATAATATATGCCTAATAAAAACTGTTTTAAGTACAAAGGAGTAAAAACTACCATTTTGGCTAAGAGATAAATCATCTGACTGAATCATGAGCATGCACTTTGATCTCTGCTAACCAACAACATATATTCTCTTCATACATACTTCTCAGCTCTCAAATTCTGTTATAAAGGGAAAAATGCTCAAAATTATTTTTATTTATTGGTATAAAATTAAAGTGGAAACAGACCCCAACTACCTTTAAAGATATGAACTCCTTGCAACATCTTTGCAAACCCCTGCTGGGGGAAGGGAGGTGTTCATAAAACATTGGAGATACTAGATCCGATCATTTAAGGGCTCCTTCCAGTTTTAAAATTGCTCACGTCTTCATTTATACATTAATCAGGTAATGTACATTTGCATATACATCAGACAGAGTAACTAGTTGATTAAGTCACCAGTCAAAAATTTTTAGATGAAGAGATGAATGGGATTTCCTCTAATGTTTAATGACCATGCTGGTGAAACCCTTAGGGTGTTTTCGGGATTAAATAGTCCTGAAGGATATATCTATGAAGCTAAAAATGAGAATTAACTCCATGTGGCTAAAAACATAAAAGTAACAAAAGGAGGTGCGATTTCTGAATATGATGGCAAAGGGTATAGTCCCTGATGTCAGACAAACCCTGGCTCTGAGGTCAGCCCATTCCTGGTTGCCCATACCTGGCCAAGTTATTTAAACTCATTAGGTCAGTTTACTCATCTGTAAACTATAAAATGTGGATGACAGACATACAACCTATATAGAGATGTTGTGAGGAGTAAATGAGATAATGTACAAAAAATGCTTGGGGAAGTACTTGAACATAGTAACTTTTCAACACATTTAACTGTAACTATGTTTCCTTGTCTGATGCTCCTCCCTTAAGGCAATTGAAAGGAACTTTCTGATGGATTGCCTTTCTTTCAGATTTCTGAGGGGAACTCTTCTTTGCTAAGTGAAAATTTACCAAGTGCCAGAATTTCAGTCCAGCTGACTACTAACCAGAATTGTTTAGGTGCTACATCAGTAGGGTAAGTTAATGATGAGGACACAGAAAATATATCCTTTTATTCTTGCTTTCTTTTATCATTATAATCATTTATGGAAAATAGCTTTCTGATATTGCACAGATAAATTGCTAAGATTTCTTTTTTTTAAGATTTTATTTATTTATCTGAGAGAGAGAGAACATGAGCTGGAGGAGAGCCAGATGGAGAGGGAGAGGCAGACTCTCCACTGAGCAGGGAGCCCGATGTGGGGCTTGAACCCAAGACCCTGGGATCATGAGCTGAGCCAAAGGCAGACACTTAACTGACTGAGCCACCCAGGTACCCCAAATTGCTAAGGTTTCTATTTGAGATTTTATAAAGGACACAAGTTTACAATGTTTTTCAAAACGTCTCTAATATTTAAAGATTATCTTATTAATATTGGATTATCTCCATTGCTTTGTTGACTTGGGTGAGAATATTTCAAAAACATACAGTTAAATTTTTAGTTAGGAATTAATTATCTGGCTGATAGATTAGCCTTCCCCTTCTGTGGTGTTCTTCCACCCTGCCACTGCCATTTTTCATTATTTTGGGTGTTATTCCTTATTTATTGACATACATTGGATAGACAACAAAGAAAACAGTATAAATGTACAAAATGAAAGTTAGTATTTACCGGTATCACCAGCAATGAAGGCATGTTTGATCTGAGGGAAGATTAAACTGAGCCATAGATACAACCAGACTCACATGATTAGGGCCCATGTGAGTACCACAGCTCTTACCTATGGTGCACACTGGGGGTACAGTGGGGACCCCAGAGCACATTGGCCTGCAGATAGACAGCTGTATATCTTTGAGTTTCTCATCATGCAAAACACTTTTAGCAACAACAACAAAAAAGTTCCAGGAGGAAAAAAACCCAAATTAAACAAAAGCCCACTCAAGTATAACTGACAAGATAGATTGGCTGTGCTTTTGCTCTGGAGACCTCTGGTAGCTGGGAGCATTGGCCACTTGGGGAAGAGGACAGAAGAAATGAGAGATTGGAGAGGCTGTGCTGGAAAAGCAAGCAGATAAGGTCTGGGCCAGCCCCTGGTTGATCACACAGCCTGAACAGTGATGGGCATGACATGTGTTTGGACTGGTCTCAATTTGTGCTGTCACAGCTGTCAAATATTTTAAATATCATCCCCAGGAGTACCTCAATTTTTCCTTCATTTCTCAGTGGCTGCAGATGAACAAGAGTTAGCTATTTTTGTGCTTTACATAAATCTGTTAAATCTTCCGGTTATTTCATGTGCTAAGATCTATCATGGCTTTATCCATATATTTCAAATCGCAAATGTTCATTTCTTTTCCTTAGATGTCAACCAAATGAAGATAAGTATTCTTTTAAAAGCTGCAGTTCTGATTTTGTGTTTGGAGAAAACATGGTAGAAAGAGTTTTGGTAAGAATTTTGGCATTATAAAGAATTATAAAAGATGTCACTTTGAGTTTCTGGAGGCATATTAATTAAAACAATGTTAAATTGGAGCATACTTTAACTCCTGAGTTCGAAGGCACGTTTTCTTTCTTTAACCAGAAAGATTCTCCTGGGAAGCAAGTTCTAGTTGTTAGAATAATAGGCAGGAACCCACAGAGGAAGGGAATTGTATAATTATAACATTATTACTGATGAGAAATATTAAATAGTTCTTTGACGTGTGTTACACCCAAGGTACCCAAGGAAATCCCAGAATTATCTGCAATAGATGAGCTTAACTGGTAATGATATTTTAATATCAGGTTTTCGATAGCATCTTTCATAACAAGATGCACTTAAAATCATTTGCCAATTTTTTCTTGTTAACCACAACCCTCCCCTTCAAGCTTTTATAGTGAAAAACATTATCATAACTTTTTTTTTTTTTTGCAGGCTTTAAGAGGAAAATCATAGTACTTTACTTGCCTAGGGAAACATACTTGCCAAGTGGAAACCCCTAAGGAGTTTTACCGGCATCCCTATTTAGTATTGGGCGTCCTCCTGCATGAGGTGGTTGCCCCTCTGCCCTCCACAGCTAGCATGCATTAGGACTACTAGTTACATCAAGGATCCAGAGGAGGCTACACAGATTTTAAAGCCTGCATAGAGGCTCAGAATAACAAAGGACCAACTCATGAGGTCTGTCTATTCCAAGGTTTTTAGGGCTTTCACAAATCAATCCCTTTTAAGACTTGGTTTATTCTACACCCCCCTCAGGCTAAACCCAAATTCCAAGAGTAGTGTCATAGCTTTTTAGCTTGGGGGCACCCTCTGCCACTCTCAAGATGAAGGGTAACTCCACAGTTCTAGAGCTGTTGATCCATATCTTTGGATCTGAACCAGAATGGACCAACTTCCAGAGTGAAGTTCTAGGCGATACATTTAGGCACATTTCTTCCATATTGTTTAGTCCTAAATTTGGCACTACATTAACCACAGCTTCTGTAAGATGTCACAGACACAAATAAAATACTTTCCAAGCCTCACAGGATCAACTTTAACACCCAATTCAACTTAACAAACATATTTTGTATTCTTATGATGTCTAAAGCTCTGGCGTTGGTCTCAAGTTTGGCTGTGTATTAACAATCATCTCGTGAATCTCTAAAGGATTCAGTATGCCTGAGCATTTCCCCAAACCGATTAGATCAGAGTCTCTGTGGGTGAGGCTAGGTGTCAGGTGATTTGAATGTACAGCCAGGATTGAAAAACACCTGGGTGAGTGGTTATGCAAAGCGAAAGGGAGACACTGTGCTCTAGAGGTGCTTATAATCTAAGGGGAGACAGAGACATACCTGAGCAAATGAACTACAGTTGGGATTAGAACTTTGCTTTGAGGAGGTACCGGTATACATTTCCTGTGGGCACTTTCAATCTGGCTTGCAAAGGAAAACTGAGCTTCCTGTCTCTTTAAGATGATAACATCCTAGGCTAGCAGGAGCTGTAGCGATCACTTGTATGTGTCCTCTGCTTAATCCTATAATCCCGTGACCTTGTGATCTGGGGGTCAGAATGCCCTCCTGACTCGTGTGCTGACCATGCGCTGTTCCCGAGAGTCATGAAACTTTCTGTGCCTTCCTGTTTATTTTCTTAAAATGGAAATAATCACACTCATCTCTACCAATTTTAGCAGAATATCTTAAAATATCCAGTTAAATAATGTGGAAGAGTTTTGAGTTCATAAAGGAAAAGACAGAAACCCAAGTTCTGAAGTACTGTTACAATTCCCTCTATTCTGCGGGGGGATCTCCAGGATCATAAATGGCCGGGCAGTTACTCACTCTTTCTTTACAGGCCTTGGTTACAGCACCTGGGCAGGGCCCCAGGTGTGCTGCCTTAAAAGTGATTTTTGGCAGAAATTGTCTTAGAGGAAAAATTAAGATGAGCTCTGAGACAGTGAGTGGGTTCTCTGGGTAACTTGTATGATTATTTTGGATAGAGAGTGAGGCGCTGGGAATACTGAAATACCTTGAAACAGAGATGAGAGTTGCATCTCCTTTGAGGCATCAGGGTGCTCTTGTGGTAGCACGGAACAGCTGCTACCTCCTTTTGGGTCTCTAAACCTTCTCCCCTTGTCCCTGGAATGAGATCCCACCTGAAGTAGGCTGGTGGTAACCAGATTATGCTTCCTGAGGATCAGGACCAAGGTCCTGTGATGTGATAGGAAGGATTTCCCCGTAGAGCACACTGGGAACCCAAAACAAAAACATTGCAGTAGAGTTTGCCGTGTTGAAGTAGAAGAAAGAAAGGTAACTTTTGGCTTACTGCAAATATACAGGGACACAATTCTGTAATATATCTTTTTGCCTCACCCAGGATACTCAACATCTCACCCAACCTCAACTCGAAAATGACTCAAACACCAGGGAAAAACCATTCAAATCCACTCTAGAATTTCCTGTCAACTCTCCAAATTCAAGTAAGAATTATGTCATTTGTAAAAAAAAAAAAAAAAAAAAGATTCAACTAGTGTATTTCCTGTTTTCCCATGTCATTTGTTTAGTATCTATAAAATACAAAAACAATAACGCAGTGCTTTAAAACTTTTTGGTAAAGATTAAAGCATACGAATATGGTTGTATGATACATAAGCTTAAACATTTTTTACTTGAGCACATGAGAAATCATTAAAGAGATTTATCTAAACTCAAGTAGTTTCACTTTTTGGGAAACACTCATTATTTTTGTTTTGTTTTTCAAAGATTTTGTTTGTTTGAGAGAGAGAGAGCACGCGTGCGTACTCACGCACAAGCAGAGGGGAGAGGCAGAGGAGAAGCAGGCTCCCCGCTGAGCAGGGAGCCCAATGTGGGGCTCTATCCCAGAACCCCGAGATCATGACCTGAGCCAAAGACAGACACTCAACAGACTGAGCCACCTGGGCGCCCCGGGAAACACTCATTGTTATAAAAAGCTTAGGAGACCTGTATATTAATGGGGACAATAAAGAGCTTTTACAGTAGAGAAAAATGGGGTCTTTTATGTGTCTTTTCCCCCCTATTTTTTTCTTAGGCACAGGCTCTATTAAAAATATATCCCTAATTGAATCAGCTGCTGCTTTCTCTTCTAAGCCATCACCCAAATGCTTGCTGGAGAAAATTGATGTTGTAACAGGGGAAGAAGCAGAGCATAATGTGTTAAAGGTCTGTATACCACACGTTGCTCTTTCTGGCAGCATGTCTGTACATGAAATCAAGTTTCTATAAGCAGGAACCCCTTTAAAAATAAAGGCAGAAGTATAGTTTTCATTAGGACAGAGCTGCTTCAATAAAACTGTGAGGGGCTTCCAAAGACTAAGCCAATAGTTTGTTGTATTCATACGTTAGTATGTGTAATTTTCAGGAAGATGGATTATTGGGTTTACAAGCATTCACATTAGTCTTTTAGAAAGAAGACAGCCAGGCATCCTGTCTTAAAATAACTTCAGACCTAATTTTTATACTTTTCATGCCTACTTTTATAATCAGTGCTATCATCCTATGATTGAAAATTTCTACTTACCCTGGACATTTTTAAATGATAAGATGAATAGATTTCAGTTCAAGATAATAAAAAAATTCTGTCTTTCTTTGAAAAGTTCTTTTATATAAGTTTTGGATTTCATATAAAGCAAGACTTTCACAGATATAATATACAGTATCATACATAGGATTTGAATGTTGAGTGGTCTATCAGCCGAGGCACATGAAATGTAATTACTATGACCTAATGGTTTTTCAACAAGGTGCAGATTTCCCTTTCTCCTTCTCCATCTGCTTTTACCCCCAAATCTCTCCATTTCTCTTCTCCCATGATTTACTGATACATTTACTATACAAGTGTGCTTCTAAGCATAACTCTCAGATCATCTTAAACGGAGGTTAAGTGAAATAATTGCTAGGGGTGAGGTCCTGGCATGCTATATTTTTAACAAGTCATCTGGGTGATTCTTGTACACAGTAATATTTAATTCTGGTAAGCATTATAGTACAGTGCTCTGTAGTACCACATCCTAGTTGCCGTATTCCTCAAAAAATTTTAAGCATGCAAATAGTTTCACTAATCCTTTACTTTCACGTAAGTCACATAGCTCAAATAACATTAAATTTCATTTAAAAGTTGGTACATATAAATATATTGTTAAGTGAAAAATCACGATGCAGAAAGTATGGTATTCTACCATTTATAGAAAAAATAAGGGACATATGTATCGGCATGTATATACATACAAATATCTCTAGAAGGATAAACAAAATATTAGCAACAGCGATCACCTGTTGCAGGGGGTAGAAACTGACAGATGGAGAAGTACGGTTGGGAAGGACTTTCCATTTTGCACATCTTTTTTGCTTTTTGATATTTGAACTATTCAAAAATTGCGTGTTTTAAAAGTTAAATTTTTAAAGCTGGTTTACAAATCATTAAGAGAGGTTACTCTGGTAAAGTCAGACAAAGAAAAGTGTTACAGCATAGGAAAGGAATCACTTCGAAAAAATTTTTTTTATATATTTGACATTTAAAAAAATTGTCCTTTAGATCAACTGCAAGCTTTTTATATTCAACAAAACAACACAGTCCTGGATTGAAAGGGGCAGAGGAGCTTTGAGGCTGAATGACACAGCGAGCAGTGATTGTGGAACATTCCAGTCAAGACTAAGTAAGGAATCATTTTGTAAAGCAACCCACTCTTTCTCAGAGTAAAATTACCAGTAGGTACACATCATTTTCTGGCGATATGCTATCAAAGAGTCAACAAATCAGTCTGTTGAAAACAATGTTGTTTCTAATGTACTATAGCAGCTTCCTGTTTAGAGCAGCCTCCGGTTCTGCCTCTATCACTGACTAGTGACCTTGGACGAAGTACTTAATCTCTCTCTCCCTGCCCTAGTTACATCAGTTTCAAATGGGGAGAATAGTACTCCATGACTTACTGAGCAATTGTGAGAATTCAGTGAGATAATGCACTTAAGCACCTATGAGCAAGCCCAGCACACACCTCAACAGTAATCTCCGTATTATTTAAAGGCCATACATAGGATGACATCATTTCTGAAGGAAAAGTAGTTTTTCTAAAAGAGAATATCTGCCCTGTTGTTTATTCTTGGCATTCTAAACATGGCATGTGGGTTGAGATGAAGGGTCAGATTCCTAGGAAATAAAGGTGTGTGGTTACTGAATCCTGTGTGTGGTTACTGACATCCAGAGTGATGGTGAGAATCTGGACTCAATCAAACTGAAACACTCAGAAAGTTTTTGGCATCCGAAAAGACACACTGGGCATTGTTCAGAGGCCCAAACTGAAAGTGAGAGCCCTGGGCAGGGCCAGTAGGTTTACTGGTCAACACTGGGCAGGCAAAGCTGTGGAGGGGACCACTGGTAGAAGTTGGATCCATGTATACGGATGTTTATTGAGCTTCAGATATCAAGCTCAAGAAACCAGCGAGGACTAGAACTCACACTAAAAGAATAGGAACCGTGTCTTCAGTTCTATAACTGGCAAACAGGTTTCTAAGTAACCCAACCAAGTATTATTCCCAAGGCAGGTGCTAGTTGTTTTCTACTCTTGTTCAATGCCACTCTTTCCACTGCCTGCCAAAATTTGTGATGCATGGTGTTTACATTGCTGGGTAACCTGATTGTACATTTTATGTGGTATACCATGATCACCTTTCCACATCAGTAGTTATCTTTCTTCCCAGTTCTTAATGGGTTCATAGTATTATCTTGAATAGCCATGTCATTTTTTAACTAATTTAGCTAATTTCATTTTTTGAATGCCTAAAGCCAAGTTTTCTCCATTGTAAACAATTCTTGGATAAATATTCTTCAGACCACTAGATCCTCAAAGGAGTTCTAAAATTTTAATCATTTTTTAATATTATAGTAAAAAAAATAATTCCGGCTTTTAAGCTAAAATTAGTCCTCCAACATAATAAAGCTCAATTTGAAAACCAACTTATAATCAAGCCAAATTACAATGTAATAGTGAAAATACAGTCTGAAAAACCACTGAAAGATTTACTTTGCTTTCAAAAATGGCAAATTCCCCAGAAGGTCAAGTAATCAACTGTTCTGTAGTCTTATATATTCACCTTCCCATTTTAGTTATGCGCAATCAAGGCAGCCTGAGGCTGATCCTCAATAGCAAACTCTGGGCTCAAATGGAGATTCAAAGAGCGAACCACAAAAATTTGCGAATAACAGCTACTGATTTAGAAGACTATAGCATCAAAGTGTTTTTAATTCAGGTAAGTAACAGATTACAGTGATAGAGAATTATCCTACTGTATTTCTAGATCACTGCAATTGCTAAATTGTTTAATTTCATTGTAACCTGCACCACTGGCAAAAAACAAAAACCAAAAAACCAAACTTCAGCCATTCATTTTGGTTGTTTACAGTTTAATATAAGACCTAAATTTTATATGGAAATTTACAGATTAACACCAAAATCTATAGTAATCAATTGGTATATGTCCAAGACATTTGTACTGATATATGCTTCAAACCTCCTCATTTTTCTTTACCATTATGTGTAATGGTATTACAAATTATGTCAACAATCTTACTAAGTTACCAAAGGGACTGTTGTCAAGACTGGCTCCTAGGAGTCCAGTGGAATACACAGCCCAGTGCTTATACTGAATGCTGAAATTCAGAAGGCTTTGAGATCACTGGAAAGGAACCAGTGAGAAATGGAAAAACACAGGGCTCGTAAGTCAAAACAACCAGTCCAATAGCACATTCCCATTCTGGACATGAGTCAGTCTCCAAGGTAACAGGATGGGAGCACAGACTTAGCTTTTCCCGGCAGCAGGAATGCTTGACCTCAAATACAAGATCCAGGCACAAAAGAGAGAGATCTGGCAGGGATCAAACCAGAAAAAAGGTTAGGTTTCCCAAATGGGCTGAGACCCAGAAGACTGGAGCAGACTGAGTACTCACATGACTCAGGCAGAAGGTAACAGTACAAGTAAATTAGCTCCCATAGTAATGGAAATGGAAATGGAATGGAAAGTAATGGGAAAAAAAAGTTGCCAAGTGCCCAATGATGAAAAACCAAAGATTTTATTAACTACCAGTAAGGGCACTGTTAGGTGTAAGTGATGTTGAATATTGAGATGTTAGAGTAAGATAATGCCCAAATGTTGTTTACCATCGAGGGAGACAATCCCTGATACTCTGCCAGGCTGGATCCCCTGGCTTTGAGCAAGTAAAGCAGCCTGCCTGTAGCTGATACTAAGATTGAGACCATTAGCTAAGATGAGATTCTGCTGTTCAGTATCTGACCCACGCTGGCTCCATAAATTGTAGGATATCTGCTAGAGATAAGCCAGCTAAATGCAAATAAAAATCACCCCAAATTCCATTCCCAGGCATGGTCATTACGAACATTTTTCTTATATTTTAGCATATATGTGTGTGCACACATATGTATGTATTGTACAAACTGTATGATCTTCAGGTAGGTTATTTAGATTCTTTAACTTGATTTTACTCATCTGCCAAATAAAGATAATAATAATTTACTTTATAAAGTGGTTAAATATTTAGAATGTGAATATTTGATTATGAAGTACACATAGGTAACCTTTTCACTCATCAATGAAAGTGAGTGTTTTCCTGTCATTAAATAGTTCATTTTTTGAAAATTCTTTTAATAGGCGAAAAGAATTCTATTATGCACCCTAATTTATTCCATTAATTCCACTTTGTTAAATACTTAGGTAATTTACTGCCTTTCATTATTAAAAATTCTGCAAGAAAGATGTGAGGAATTCTCTGTGTACATACATGTTAATTTTCTTCGGATAAGGTTTTGACTTGTCTTGACAAATTTCTCTTCAGAAAGACTGAATCAATTTTCATTCTCTCCAGCATTTTCTTATGGTACTTCCTGGGAATTATCATTCTTTTAAGCATAGAGAATTTGTTATTCAAAAAATATATCATTGTGATTTTATTTTTAATTTCTTGTTCTGAATTCCTTGAATGAATATATCTGAATGAATTTGGCAAAAGGCAATATATTGACCAGTGGAAGACATATTTAAATTTTAATGTTAGAAAGTCAAGGTGGCAGAGTAGTATTTATATTTCAATTACAAATACTCTTGCAATATTTATTAACTTACTAAGGAAAAATTACACCTTTGCACATAATGTAAAAAATGAAATCAGTCAAGAGTCAACAATTATTTTCTCAACATCTATATAATATTTAGCACAATATGAGAAACAAAAATATTTTATTTAACTTATAGTTATTTTCCCCCCAAAGTAATTAAGGGAACTTAAGAACATGCAAATGAAAAAATATAACTCGGGGTGCCTGGGTGGCTCAGTCGTTAAGTGTCTGCCTTAGGCTCAGGTCATGATCCCAGGGTCCTGGGATTGA